GAATGAGGGTGTCTGTCACGCCGCACAATTAGCTCGTCAAGACTTAATCGGGGTCGCAGGAAGGTGCCCCGGAACTTGTTCGCTCTGATCAGCAGTCGCAACTGCAAAGCAATTTTCCATGCTGAGGCCAGTCTACGAATCTCCACCATCCAACCTTCAATTCGAAATGACAAATCTAAGGGATTTTTCCGAGTCAAACTTTTCCTTTCCTAATCCTCCCTTTGGCGTAATTCGAAACTTGTACCAATTTACCTTTATCCAACTTCTGTTTGCTGCTTCCATTTAAATAAAGTACCATTCATATGGTTGCATTTTCGTATGCTTATATCTGCGTGATGAAGTTCCTTTTAAGGATGTGTTCGAGTGATGCTGCCGTCCGGAGGTTTTATTTTGCCTCAACTGAATTCGATCCAAAGGCAGAAGATTTGCGTTTCTTCCTCCAGCCCACTTTCAAGCTGGCAGTGAATAGGTGAAACTGCTCACTCACATACAATCAACCGAATAACACATTATTCAACCCAAAGTCTTTGCGCATAAGGACCTGTCTGGAAAGCCATCCTCATCGTCTTGACAAAAAGCAAGATTAAACCCAACCAAAGTCAGACATCAGGATGCATATGTGGTGCGTGTGTAAACACATGTTTTTTGAGTAAGTGTTGTGACTGAGTGGCATATCTGCTATGATTCCTCACATTTCTAGTGTGTCTGATCGGTCCTGTACACGCTGTGGCCCAGATGTGTCTGTTTGCTTGTTCACATGTCACTTGTTCGTTGGTGTTCGGTCACGCGGACACATTTTACTGCATGCATTCATGCAGTAGATACATGATCTATTTCATGTTTAAGCACTGTGTCAACTACTTTGAAGTTACAGACCTTCCAGTCTGTTGGCAGCGTGTTTATCTTCGTGAATCCCAGCCCCAGAACGAGCACTTCACTCACTTCTGGACGCATATCTCTAGCCTGACCTCACACAAAAGGGCCGAATGGTTGCTAGACACCGGTTCCACCAAGAGTTGCTCGAACTTCTCGCAGCCTCGGCCACTCACGTCTTTGTGGGTCCAACCACATAGCTCTCGGTGGGCCCCGCTCACGCAGCCCATTGTCTCTTCCTTCAGGACACTTTTGCACACTTTTTGCTCGCTTCGTCAGGTCTATTTCTGTAAAGGTTAGAGATCCTGTAAAAAAATTCTGCTGTCAAGGTGAGACAGGCGCACGATAAACTGTGGGATTTAATAATCGTTGACATTTCACCACCGGCCGAGGTGGAACACACTGCATACAGCAAGCCTGTTATGTGAGCCAGTTACAACAGCCCTCTCTCTACAAGCGACATAACTGATATTTAAGAGAGAAAGGTGGGGACTCTTTTAGGGCAGAGAGAAGGTGGGATGCATTGGCGGTGCAGTCTGATGTTTTGCTGTGGCCTAGAAAATTTGCCATTGTCATATGAATTGACAACTCAGGGCAGTCTGTGTCGGGCTGCGACTCACTATCTTGACCGGGAGTTGTTAAACTTTTGCAAACAGGATCTACAAGAAAAAGGTATATTTTCTGCATTGCTTACTAGTCTTTTCCTGTGATTGTCAACTTTCGTGGGGCTATTGTGTTTACCAGACCAGTGGACTAGGCATGCGTGTGCATATATATATATATATATGTGTGTGTGCGTGTATGTGTGTGCATGTAGATGTGGCCGAAAGTTAGGTAACAATGGCTGAACAAGATTGTATTCTGTAGGGAGAAGTTAGTGTTATGCAGAGCAAATGGCAGATGTGGATGTAGCAGATGCTGTTCGGTGGTTGGAGCTCGTCTTCTTGCAAAAGGTTAAGCAGCGGTCACTTTCGGCGTGCCATGCATAGCCATGGCAATCCTCCAGAGGGGACGGGTCCACTTTCGCCTTTCCCGTCTCCCGGAACACCTATTGTGACATGCTGCTCAGTCGAGTGTCTCGTACGCGGTATCTCAGCTCATGCGCACAGGTCGCGTGCGCCGCCCGCCACCGAGCCTCATCTGCCGGTCCGAGTCTAACCGAGACTGGCCCTATCCTTTCGCCTCCTACCAGTCCGCCACCCATTTGGTTGTCGCGTCGTGAGGTCTTGCTGATCCACTTCCAACCCTCTTCCTGTCCCAGACACACCGGACCACACTCGCGTCGTAAGTGTCCCTCTCAGGACACAGCATAACTGTCTGAGTTTCAGGCATTCTTGCGGAGCACAAGCATGGGCTGTGTGGAGCCCATGAGACGAGATAGTCTGCACATCTTTGGCGCTGCTGACGTGGGTTAATTGAATTGTTGGGCCTTGTCTTGACAAACTGCCATAGCTGTGCCCTCGTTCATCCTTTGTGAACGTCTGCTGGCAAAACAAATGACCATGGAGACGGCGCAATTACTTGTTTTCGCTTGTCACAATGCGGTGGCTTTCATGATGTTGCAGCCTTTATGTGGGCATATGAATTGGCTTGGGTGGATCTAATGCGGTGTCCAGTAGCGAACCAATCTGTCCAGAAAGTGTCCCATCAGGCACCTCAGCAAGAAATGGAGTTTTCGTCTGGTGCCGGCGATCTCCTATCGACTCAAGGCCAAGCATTGTTTGGATGAGCTCGGGGCATTGATAAATCATGTGGAAAAAGTAAGCAAAAGGACAGGTTTCCTTGGATTTTAGATATGAATACCAAGATTGTGTGGCCTGCTGTTTGGCCACAATCTCCTTTGGCTCGGATTTTGCTCTTCCGGCTGTTACAAAGGGGTATTCTCATCCTTGATCAGGTGTATCATACTTTTCCCGATGGGGTCGGCGCCGACGTTATGCAATCGAAGAGGGGAAGGGCGCGGCTTCCTAAGCCGGGCACATACCTGAACTGTGGGAATGTGCCAACAATGCATAATTGGGCTGCACCTGAAACCCCATAGTAGCACTGCCTTAGTGAGGCTGTGACTAACATTGTATGAATCAATTTCATCTAAAGATTTTTACCGTCCTTCAAGTCTCTCCCCGCCATGAGCTCGGCAATAAATGAGGTCAGATGGCCAACTTTATGTTCAAGCCACCTCAATATGGTCCAGCGATTAGTTCTACTGAGCTGGTGATTCGAGGCAAGGCTTGGACTGTATGAGGGTACATACAATTCGATATTTTCTACCACAGTTCGAAACCATATCAAATGAAGGTAGAGCATAAAGTTTGGTATAGAATACATGGTTGCCTGTCGTTAGGATATGCCCCACCAAATGCCACTAAAGTCGCGTAGCATGGAGGCTACGAGGCGAAATGTAAACTACATTCTGGCCTGTAGAATAACGATCCTATGGACTACTTGACGAATATCAAGCCCTCTATTCACTTCACTGTGGTAAGGGTCGCTATGACTTCGCTAAACAAATCAGTCGGAAACGAATGTGGTCATTCCTAGTCTTAGAGGCTAACTTTTGAGCTGGCACGAGGAAGAGTTTCAAAAATACTCTTAAACTTTATTGCCATTTGCATGTGAGCTGACCTCATGGAATGTGAAACATGATTAGTGCCCGAATAACCTGGGCTTTCCACGAGAAGGGTCCGCTAATCGAGCGCCAAAGTCTTATTGCATCCATAACTTTAATCCTGGAGCATAGCTTTATTATATCATATTGATGAGATTAAAAGTCTTTATGATGGGCCTCTACTTTGGTTCCAAATGAGCCTTATTTTCAGGAAATGTTAAATCCTAGCTATAAATTAAGCAGATTTATTCGCGAAGAGCCTAAATTTTCGAATCAGTGCCAAACGATCTTCTGAAATTGTCGTTGTTGTTGCTATCACAACTACTGTCCTATTTTCCACCTGATTAATCTTTTCCCTTTAACACCTCTTTCAGAATACGCTGGCTATCACCACCACAACCTGCGCCACCACAATCATCGTAATCCTCTGGCTCCTCTGAGTCATCCTCATGAGATCCCTGAAGCAAATATCTGCACACAGCCTCATCTGTCCGGTGAACTCACGGTTCACTCCACGAGAATAGACGAGAGCAATGCCCCATTTCCATTCCTCTATTGCTCCATCGCCACGGACACCGCTTTAGCTAACGTTGTCTCAAATTCGGCTACACTCACCAATCCAACTGTCACCACTGCCCCTTTCACCTGTGGCCTAGTTACCGACACCTTTGCCTCTGCCACAGACACAGTCGCAAGAGGTAGTCTCGTTGCTCCATCGTCGATAGGTGACACCGGCGTTTCTGCTCTACCGGCTGCCATGGCGATTGCCAATCAGGTTGCATCCCCTCCTCAGGGCAGACAAGACCTGGCACCAGCTAGGCTCCATCCGAACAAGGCTCCAGCCGACCCAGTTTTCCGAGCCAATTCTATTTTTGGCGGAACCAGAGACGAGCCCAAACCAATTCTGCGCCCCGCTTATCCCTCTTTATCCACCTCTGAGCCCATCTCCGGCTCAGATCTTGGCTATTCTCTGTGTTCGGCCTCTTTGATGCTTCCGCTTTCTTCTACGACCCATGAGGGACGCTATCTTTGGCCACCGTCCAGCCCACCACGCCTCGGAGCCTCGGAGGCGGACTCCGAGATGAAGGGAGCGATGTCCGAGACCAGCCTTGCGCAACCATACGACGCGACAAATCCCCTCCCCAACGGCCCCTTCCCTCGGACGCATCTTAGCAACGGGCCGACTTCAGGGCTCGGCCGGGACTATGACAAGGGGGGGCGTCACGAGGATACACGAGATTTGGAGGCTGCGGTGGAAGAGGACGAAGCTTCGGTGGCTCACATGGCCAGCAGTTCTAGGAGGCGAAGGACCTTGGAAGTTCAGCACAGTCCCCACTCCTTCGAGTCTGTCAGTCGAGAGAAGAATGAGCTCTCCTCAACTCGAAAGTTTCCAGTCCGCCTCGATTCACCCACAGACTGCCAGACCGGTGCTCCCGATGCTGCTAATCTGTAGGTCGTCT